GGATGGAAATCATTAGACCCATATTTCAATAAGTCTAAAATGGATCTCTCTCACACTGGCCTAAAAGATTGTGTTCTGGCTGCCTAAGTGGGTGTGAAAATACATGGGTGGTATTTCTTACTTTTCACAAACTCCTTTTGAATGGAGTATTCAAGGCACCCAAAAATTAAGAAGTCCAAGGATCTGAGGTGCGTCATGACGCTGCCACACGATGCTTTAGTGCATGATGTTTTAGATGAATTAGTGCCAACTTGTTCCAGAACGCTCAGGTAAAATCTCAATGTCCTGGTGTGCTCCCTACCCCCTCCACATCCACATGTAACCAACCTCCAAATTCTATTTTCCTTTGCATACATCTTCACACTCTGGCCTTTCTTCTCTGCCTTATTAGCTAACAGAAGAACTCTAGCCCTTTATCTTTGTAGTAATCCTCTTGTTTTTAAAAGACTTCTGTCTTTTCTTATTTCCTCCTTGTCTCCAAAACTCCATTCTCTTTTCCATACCACACTTGACCCCTTACGTTAATGAAACTCACTCTTGCTTTTACACGCACTGGCCCATAATGGTACTCACATACAGCAATGCCCAAAGGAACTTTCTAAGACAAGAGAATATTCCATTTCACTCCTGGCTAATAAAGTAGCCACTGGTCATATGTGGCTACAGAAGCACCTGAAATGTAGCTAGTGTGACTGAAGAAGTAAATTTTAAATTTTATTTGGTTTTAGCTCATTTAATTTTCAATAGCCGCTGTGGTGAGTAGGTACCTCACTCAGTTCTCCTGTCCTCTCCCCTTCCCACCACTAGCCCCAGCCGTCTTTTCCCTCTTCCTCCTCCCACACTGCCACTCTCTTTGTCACAGCTGTCCCTTACTCCTGGCTTGTCTAGAAGACTTGTTCCACGTGGTCACCTGGGCTCAGTGCCTGCAGCCACAAGTCTGCATGTCCCTCCATGTTGACCCTGGACAACACAAATCAGGAGAACTGTCACCTTCTCCTGGCAGGCTGGTCTAACATCCTGGGCCATGGAGACTGAGATCTCTGTGGTTTGACACTCACCCTTACTCTGCCTGGTGGTCCCCATGGCTCCACTTACTATTGCTCCTCCATCCCTATGCTGCCCACTGCAGGGGTCCTCCTCTGCAGCCCAGGCCAGACTAACCCAGTCCACGTTTCCACATTCCAGCCACTTGACCAGCCCTGCCAGGACCTTCGGAACCCACCCCCACCCCCATCAGCGTGGGGAAGATTTAGGAGAATTTAGGTAGCCCCAGAGCTATCTTTTAAAGAAAAAAACACATCTAGAACTTGCCACCAGTGAAAGGCTGTCCTGAGGATTGGAAGGACCGGAGATGATGTGTACAGCTGAAGCTCTGGAAAGCATGAACCAAGGAAAGGCCCCTAGCCCTTCACCTCTGTTCTTGAGCTCAGGGACAGCCTCGTGCTCAGGACCACTGCCACATAAAAAGACCAGTCTGATTTCTGTACAAGTCATTTCTGAATTCTATTAAAATGTATAATCAGAAAACATGCAGGTAAGGGGCCCCACGTCGCAGGTTTTTCCAGGAGTGTCCAGCGGGGGCAGCCCTAGAAGGATTCAGCCAACAGTAGTTACACTTCCATAAGTGAATTCTTGGGCATGACTTGGACTAACATTATAGAAGTCCATCTGCACACGAATGGGAACTAACTCTTCAAAGGCAGCTTTTTTATTCATCTCCGTGTGCTAAGCAGTTGGCCAAAGTACTAGTAGCCAGAGTTGTTTGTCAGTGATTATTCCTCCTATGAAGGAATGAAGCCCCAACAGGTACATGAACAAAGGGCCGAAGGTCTGATTCTCAGGCAGATGCAAAGGTGGCATCCCAGCTGCTTGTGAGAACTAAAGATGCTCCATCACAACCATGGAGAAGATCCAGAACGAAGAACTAGTGGGGGTACCGAGGGTATTTTGATAACAAGAGGAAAGACATAATCTCTCCCTTAAGCAGCTCACATGATACTATGAAAGTGTGATTACCTTCCTTCTGCGTGGGTTTATTTGTATGTAAAGCTGACTACATATGTATAAATACACATACTCAGGGGCAGACTGTTGGTTCCGTTCTTTCTGCTATTGTGCGTGTGTGCGTGCAAGTATATGTCTGTGAGTGTTTAATGATTGTAATACCATTGTGAAAACTTAATATGTCTGACTTTCATTCCAGCAGCGTTGTGTTCAGGGTTGAATAGCAACTTCAACAAAATCCAGACAGTCAGCTCCTGCTAGGGGAATTAGGGTTTATGTTCAGTACAATAAATGATCCCAAGATAAATATATTTCTTTTTTTTTTTAAATCCTGGATGGTGATGTATCATCTTTCCAATACAGAAATGGGGGAGTCTGGCTCTATTTAGTTTGTCTGATTGCTTTCAAGAGGGGGGAAAATTTGGCTCTGAAAAACTGCGGTCCACTATTCATTAAAGTGTCAATAATGCTTGGCCCAGGCATATCGACAGCGGATTAGCTTGGACTGAGTCTGTGTACAAGACCAGTGCCTTTTTTAGCCTAGCTTGTTTCCAGATCAATACAGCCATCAGCATTCGAAAATTAGACCAAGATGAGATTCCAATACTTGAGGTGGTGTGTCATGCTAAGAGGCCACCTAGCCAAGTCACAGATGTAAACACCTAGATGGGGATTAGACATTTTCCATTAGCTTGGACATGAGCAAAGATTGATGTAGACCCCCTTGCTTCACCCCTCCCACGTCTCTACCCCCACATGTGCTCCACTTCCCCTCTTGGAGCCTGTGTAAGACCTCTGGACTATAATTCCAGCCATTTGCTTCAGTAAGCATTTATTAAATGTGTACTTTGGATCAGGCACTCTCCCAGGTACTTAGGGCAGGAATGTGTGGGTGTGTGGGTGTGTGTGTTGGGAGGGGAGAGCTTAAGAAAAAAAAAAAATGACAAAAGCATGGTCCTTATTTTCAGGGAGGTTTCAGCATTTTCCACTATACCTTCCATATTCCAGTTCCAGAAAGGTCCTGCTTCCTAAAGTGAGTATCTGTACTAGTGAGCATTTGCTAACTTCTCTTTGTCAGTTCAGGGTATCCTGCTCTCGACAATAAGTGTGTGCAGTTCGGGGCGTGAAAAGAGCAATGGGGACGGCTTCAGAAGCACCCCCTGGTAGAGATTACAGATGGTGCCACTGGAGCAGTCCTCAAACTATTTTTCGGTCAACTATCCACCATAAAAAAATGTATTTCGATTGATTGATTGATTGATATTTTTTTTTTTTAAGTAGGCCCCATGCCTGGCATGGAGCCCAATGTGGGGCTTGAAGTCACGACGTTGAGATCAAGACCTGAGCTGAGATTGAGAGTCGGACTGACCGACCCACCAGGCCCCCTCAAAAATGTATTTTACATCAAAAACTTACACATCCTGAAACAAAAGTCTTATGGAATGATACTTATTCTGCTGTTTGTAATATGCTGATACCTTCTATGCAATCCCATCTCCTTTAAAAAATGTTGTTTGTATCCAGCAGTTTGAAAAATATTCATTTATAGAACCAATTAATAGAAAAAGCCATCATAATTTCAGAGGAGTGAGAAAAAGAAATAAGAACCACACGGTGTGGCCAAGCTCTGGCCCAGCACTGAGGGGCTCAGATGTCCCTGTGGTCCCTGCTCAGAGCGAGGGCCACAGTTCCCTTGCTGTGATGTGTCTCATCCCCGCTCACCTCGTCTCACCCTTCCCCAGCCTTCCTTCTCCAGCCACTTTCCTGCCCTTGTTTCTCTAGCCAAGCATCTGACAACCCCATCCCTTTTCCTTGGGTGCCCTGACAAGGAGGGGTGGCCAAAGGAGCCTCCGCTGGAGGAGCTTCCTGCCCTAGATACCGTTCAGCTGGATGAAGGGAACTGGGAATCAGGCTGTGAAAGAGACCCAAGGAGAGGAGCCAGGCTCCACTCGCTACCCCGGGCTTAAGCTTCTGAGATAATAAAATGAGGTATTTGGTCCACTGTAAAAGAATTTTAAAAAGCTAAAAAGTAGTATCAGTATTAAAAAAATATTGATGGCCAACACTTAGACAGCTCTGTAGGAGCCAGGCTGGCTTCTAAGTGTCATGTAAAATTTAGCAAGCTCGTCACATCAGTGACTCTGTTTTACAGAAGGGAACCCCGAAGCCCAGTCAGTAACTTGATCCAGGTCTCACAGCCCGAATGTGGCCAAGTCTGGTTCTGGGCTCTTCCTCCCTAATTAGGAACTGTCCACCATGGTAAAGTGTTGTTTGAATGTCCTGGGGCCAGTTTTGCTTCGCGGGGAACAGGCTAGCACCATCCCCAGGGCCTGTGAAACATGGACAGGCAGAACAAAGGGAGACGCAAAACCAAAACCAATACACAGGCCTCAAAAGCTGGGGGTGAGGGATGCAGAAAGAGGGGGCAGGAACCTGGGGTGCCACCAAACATGGAGAATCAGACGCAGGTTATTAAAAGGGAGAAGTGGCATCCGAAACCCAGGGCTGGGAGATGAGAGACGCACGCAAGCTGGAGATAGTGCGGGTGGCTGTGAAGGGTGTGTCCCAGGTGGGCGTTGAGAGCATCTGTGACGGGCTCTGCTTTCTTTGAAGGCTGTGGGAGGGTATGGCGTGTGTGTAGTGCTGGAAAAGCTAAAACACGGGTCTTAAAATAAAACAAGCTTAGAACTGGATGGAACCTAAAAAAAAAAAAAAATCTTAAGAGGAGAAAAAAGCCAAGGAAAGCAATAATTAGAAGATAATTTTCTGAGAAAATATATTATTGGAACAAAAACAAAACAAAAAAAATCCTAGTCCTATTCAACAGGAAAACTTATTTCAAAATTCAGCTTCTAACAGCAAAATGACAATTAGTTGTCGTCTTGTCCTGGCCGGATGGACAAACAGAACTCATCTCTGCTGAGGATCACAGGAAAAGTGTTCGACATGGGCTCTCCCAGCCACCCGCCCAGACCATCCAGCCAAGCCCCGCCTACCTTGCACAATGAGGTGGACCCTCGAGGTCTTTGGGTGGTTGTCCGTCTGCACAGAGCAGGTATACGGGCCCTCGTCATACACATCCACGTTCTGGATCTCGATGCTGTACTGGGTTTGGGTGTTGCTCAGGAGGACCACGCGTGGGTCCAGGCACCACTTGTCATTCCCAGCGTAGAGGATGGTGCTGCGGTTTAGCCAGGCCACCCGGGTGACCCGGTTGTCAATCGTGCACCTGGAGGGAAAACAAGATGAGTAAGTCCAGGAACCAGAGAGGAAGTGGGGACCATCAGAATCAGGTCTTCTTGGCAACGCTAGTTTGACTTGTCACCATGCCCTGCCTTCACACTCCCTCCACCAGCCCCAATGTACACACATACATTTCCTGTTTGATTGTCATGTGTGGCACTTTCTGGAACTGGGCAGCAGAAATCTTGTGGGATTAGAGCCTCAGAGCTCTGGCTGAGACTTCTGGGTCCTGAGCAGTTCAGTGCCCCTGAAACCACCTGAGCAAAGGACTACTCCCATCGTCATAACTATTCAATAGTTATAACTGGAGGCATCTTTCAGACCCAGAATGGCTAGACCCTCAGAGCACCATCAGTTTTCCCTTTGCACGAGGATTCCCATGCTGTAGGTATTTGGGGAGTACTAAGTCATCCAGTACTTATAACAGCCCTATGAGCAAGGTTCTGTTGGTCAAAGGAACAGAAGAACAAAGAAACTAAATATTTCTCCCAAGCCACACAGATAATATGTGCTAGATCAGAGAGACCCAGATTTTAACTACTAAACATTATCTCAGAATAGCGAATTCTAACAGAAGGCTTCTGAAGTCAAAACTAAATATGGACCACCACCATTGCTATTTATCTTCATTATACCCGGGGGCAGAAATGTTCAATTACTGAGAGACTAAAGGCATTTTCCAAAATCTCAAAACTGGTTGCACGTGTAAAAATAGATTTTGTCTTTTTTATTTTTGCATCTGGAGTCCCCAAATTGTGGAAGCTCCCTTCTCTTTCCTTACACTTTCAAATCTCCCAGCTTCTCTCGCCAAGTTCTAATCACATCTCTGTCTGTATTCATTTCCCTCTCTCAATACACCAAATATGTTCTATGGCCTTAGGCGAAATTCACAAACAGTGTCCTGATCCTAACTATAATGCTGGAAATAGCAATGTAGCTCAATGTGTATAACGATGCCTCAAATTTATACATTCTTTTGCAGTGTACAAAATGCTTTTACATCCACACTGTCTCTTTTGATTCTTGCAGCAAATCTGTGAAGTAGATGATCTTACCCATTCTCTACTTTAAAGATCAGGACTCCACCATTTGGAAGTGTCTGGTGACTGGGAAGTGACAGATATCTCAGCCAGGACATCTGTCTAATTCCTGGTCCCGTGCACTCCTCAGAATGTGCAAAGGGGGATTTTTCAGTGGGAGGGATGACTGACCCTGCTGAGTTCCAAAATGGTCTGTGACAATAAAAAACATAAGAACTGCCGCTGAGCACACCAGCTTCCCCGGGCGGTCCCTCTCGAGATGAGATATCCTGTATCGTGCCTTCTTTCCGCTTGTACTTGTGTAAATGTCACAGGATCACTGCAGGGCCACTCAGGCACAGGTGGGGAGCCTTGCTGAGAATGCCTGTAGGGAAAGCTGCTCCACCAGAAACACCTTTGCTCTGGTGTCCAGCAAGTTCTGTGCTGTTCATTGTGTTTCCTGGACAATGCAGGATGGAAATGACTTTACTAGGGAAAGATCAAGGGAATGGGCCACTTGCATCAGAATCGCATGAGGGGTTTGTTATAGGTGTTTAGTCTCACCTCCTATCTTACTGATTTAGTCTTTGGGTATCCAGAAGTAAGAATTTCTAACAATAGCCCAGTTGGGTCATAGACCTACCAAAGTTTGAAAAACACTGGTGCAGAGCTGTTTGTCTGGGATCAGCTACATAATTTGGGGGGCTCAGTATATAATGAAAAGGCAGAGCTCATTGTTCATGAATTGTTAAGAATTTCAAGATATTGAAAGGAGAGCATTTAACCATGTGCAGGATCCTTCTGAGTGCAGGGCTCTGTGAAAAAATATATACTCTGAGCGGATCTTGGACTTTATTGTGCTTAACGCTTCTTGGGAATCTTATTAAGATGCATGCACTGATTTGGTAGGTCTGGGGTGGGTCCTGAGAGTCTGCACGTGTAGTAGGCTCTCAAGTGACGCCAATGTTGCTGACTCTAGACCATTCCTTGAGTAACATAAATCTAGAGGTGAAACACATGAACCTTAAGGGTGGGGAAGCACTGAGCTAGCACCTCACTATGTGGAAGTGTGGTCAGAAAACCAGCAGATCACCATCCTATGGTAGCCTGGTAGAAATGAAGAAACTCTGGCCCTATCTCAGATGCAATGAATTAGAATGTGCATTTTAATAGTATCTCTAGGTAACTAGATACATGCAAAGTTTGGGCTGGTCTAGAATGTACTTCAAGACTGCCTCTGGCTTTGATGACAATACCCAGAATATTCTGAGAGTGAATGAGAGTAGAGAAGTACAGCCAACAGAGGAAGCACCTGATGCCATTCCTTCCCTTAGGTTCCTCACAGACTTCCCTAATGTTCCTCCTCTCAGGCTGCCTCACCTGGAATGTGGACTTGGAACCACAGTGGTTTGAAATCCCTGAAGAACAACACACTCCAGAGCATACTTTACTAGTAACACATTGGTAAATGTTATTTGTCTTAATTACCTTAAGGGTGGTCCCTGCTCTAAATTGTGCTTCGGGGATACCTGGGTGGCTCAGTTGGTTGAGCACCCGACTCTTGATTTCGGCTCAGGTCATGATCTCAGGGTCGTGAGATCGAGCCCTACTTCAGGCTCTGCGCTGAGCGCGGAGCCTGTTTAAGATTCTTTCTCTTCTGCTTGGCCCCTCCCCACTCTCCCCCACTTGCTCTCACTCTCTCTCTCCCTCTCTCTAAAATAAATAAATAAGTAAATCCTTAAAAAATAAATTTTGCTTGGATCCCAGCAGAGAAACTATGAAATTCATATTCATGGCTAATGTTTATTGAACACATCTTATTGTATTCTTGGTGCTACACAAGTCTATTATATAGACTACATTACCATCTCAGAAATGTGGGTTCACTTATTAATGCCAGTTTACAGATGGGAGTTAAATCAAGTTAAAAAATATCCAAATTGAAAAAAATACCCAAATTGATTAGAATCACTGTGATATTAAGTGGCAGAGTCAGGATTCAGATCCAGCTTTATTTTATTTTGTTTCAAATTCAGTGTTTTTGAATGTCCTTATAAGCCCTCCCCAACGGCCTCCAACATTTAAATTCAGTGTGCGTCAGAATCATCTGGAAGCCCTGATAAAGTATGGATTGCTGGCCCCTCCCTGATCTGGAGACCACATCCTGAAATCCATTAATTTAGACATCTGGTTTCTGGTGAAATGAGAGCTACAGAGCGAGCGGGCACTAGGAAATGACCCTTGTTTGAAATAGTTTTCCATTACTTTACGGGAGAGAACTTCCTTGTAATTGGTATGTTTTGGGAAGCCAGAGCTGAAGCCCAGCTATGTGCTCCCCCAGCAGCTAAAAAGGAGCCAGACACCAGGGGAATGGCCAGCCGTGGTGCAGGAAGTTCTGATCAACACCCTCTACAAGGCTTGAATAATTGTTTTTGATGCCCACGGTGGGGGCATCTCAGCCTCTTGATGAATCCGAGAGGACTGTCCTGGGCTTTCTGTGAGTGTCTAATTACTGGAAACTGACTGCAACAAAGTAGTCTCAATGCTCTGCACCATGCTTCCAGGGCCAAAGATGTTCATTTGCAGATACGCCAACGCTGCGAACGCAGACAATTTCCAACCCGGTTATGCGGCCCCTATGATATACTACACTGAGAAGCTGGCATAGCTTCAGCTGTGGTTTTGGGCACATCCAAGGTCATGTTTAGATGTCCAAACTGTCACTGCTGGATATCAGTCTTGCTGAGTCTCCACGGCATTACCGCCAGCTTCTGCAGAGATGGATCACAAAGGTAACTTGGCAGCCAACTACTGTCACCTCCTCATACCTGTCCCCATCTATCTGTCTCATTTATCGAGTTTCCACAACAATGCAGAAGAGACAATTCTCCCAGGTTAAAAAAAAAAAAGTAAAAGCAAGCATAATTGTTCCCTCAGAATGCCCTGGTTGGTGGGGAGTTGGTAGAAGATTGGGGTGGGAAATTCCTTCAACAGGCTCCCTTTTTTGCAGAGATGGCCCTTAACATAATTCTACAAAATGACTCCTCAAACACACCATGGTATTTCATGTCCTTCAGGAAGGTAATTGACTGTATGATTAAATGGGAAGTAGGGAAGACTTCAAACTCAACTCTCCCTAATCCAGGCAAGTACAGCTGGTGATGGCCACTTGTCATCAGGAAATAGTCACAGGTCAGGACGAGACAGGCCAGCAAGGGGGAAGGAGAGACAGAAAGAGTTGAAAGTGCCCTGCCCAAACCTTGAAATCCTCTCACCTTTTTTTTTTTTTTTAAGATTTATTTATTTATTTGAGAGGGAGAGAGCAAGCCGGGGGATGGGCAGAGGGAGAAGGGGGGAGAGAATCTCAAGCTGACTCCCCAGTGAGTGTGGAGCCCAACACAGGGTTCAGTCTCATGACCCTGAGATCATGATCTGAGCCGAAATCAAGAGTGGGATGCTCAACCGACTGAGCCACCCACGTGCCGCGCCTCTCACCTTTTTCCGGAATTCCTGAGATACACTAAGCTCCCAAACCAAGCATCCTCTCCACCCATACTGCCAGACATACAAAGAGAAACAACCTTTGCAGACCTAAGCCTTCTGGATTGAGCCCTGGAACTCCCAATTCCCCAACTCCAAACATCTCTCCACTCTGAAAGCCTCCTATCCTCCAGCCTCAGTGCTGCTCTCGCTTCCATCCTCCAGCCCTCTGGCCAGTGGCCATCAGCCTTCAGCGTTTGTGCGAATGGCCTTCCCTTCCCATCAGGTCCGTGGAACTCCTCCCATGTGTGGTCCCCATGGACAGCCCATGGCCTGACCTACGCAATATCCTGGCAGAATCCAGACAGACAGATAGAGCCTATTAGAGATGCTTGTTTATCATTTCACTGATGAGCCGCAGTGCTCTTATCAGTCTGTACGTCTGTCTGCACCCTGCTCCTTGGAGAAATTTCTTCTTAAAGAGAGCAAGCCTGGTCCATTTGAACAGAGATCATCCAGGGTGTGCAGCCTGCATGGATCGGCAATGTATTTTCTTTAATGATGAAAAGGTTCATGTGTAGTTGACCAGAAGAAGACCAGCCACACATGCCCATGCTGGACCTCGCACCTGAGCACAGTGTACAGCAGAGAAAGCTGTCACACCTGTCATTTTCTGCAGCTACACCAATTGTGCCAAAGCTCTAAAAATGCAGCCCTCTATCTCCTTCAACTCTTGCTGATGAATAGTGGCTTTTACTTGCTGCATTTATACATTGAGGAATAGGAAAAAATGATTAAGCAAGCCCAGGATGAGGGGCTGCAGAGATAAAACCATAAAAGTATGAACTCAGGGCCTCAAGCTACTTTTGGATCTGGAAGGAAACGAGAAAGGGAGGGAGACAGTGAGTGTGTGTCTAGAAATTGGAAGAAAAATAGAGAAAAAGCATCTGCTTGGAAACTTCTAAGGACAGACAAAGAGAGTGTTGAAATAAAGAGGATTATTGAAGAAAGAGAGAAAAATCCAGGCTTGGCCTTTCTTAAACACACCTGCCTATAGATCTGAGGACTATAATGGATCCAGACAGTGGGTAATCCAACCATTCCTTCTATCAAATGGTCCTTTAACTGCTTTTGAAAAGCAACATGTCTCAAGCAACGCTTGAGACTATAGTAAAATAAGAGCTTCCGCCCTTCACAGCACCTGGTCACAATCTCCTCTTATTGCACAGAAATGCTCCAGCTGCCCCTAAATTTGGTTCCTCTGAGCATTTGGCTGGTGCCCTGCTCCTCCCTGCAAGCTTCACAGAGAATCACTGCGATGTGGATGGCTGAGAAATACCGCCACCCAATCCCATGGAGTTGGCATGGGCGTCTTCCAGACCTATTCTTGGGGGGAAACCAACAAACAGACAAAGCATGATGCTTCATCACCGACCTGCTGAAAATTCAGACATCACTGGTACCTTAGCTCTTTATTGCAGAAGGCTTCCCTAGTGGGGTTGCTAATTTTGCCCCTACTAGAGTCTAAACTCAGGTTGATATTTATAAAATTGTTTTGGGTCATAATGAGACAAAAAACACTAACAACATTCAGTTCACACTGGCCTTGAATCCCTCAACTACGACTGTTTTTGCTTAACATTCAAAAGAAAAACAGATACATGCTAGGAAATCTTTCTTAGTTATGAAGGTGACAAAACTGTCCATACCATGCCTGGGTAGAAGCAGAAGTCTTAGAAGAGAGGGTAAAGGCCCAGGGGTAAAACCCAGCTGTGCACATGCTGCCCTGCGAGCTCACACTGCTGGCGGGTCACTGTGGTCTAAGGGAGGAGGTAGACAGGGGCAAGAGGACAAGTTCTGAACTCAGACTGCTGGAATCAAAGGCCCAGGTCTGGGCTTATCGCCTCTCAATAAGCCCTCTGAACCTCTCTGCGTTTCTTTGCACTCATCTGCAACGGAAATAACATTTTCTCCTGCATGGGGTTAATGAGATTGAATGGAACCATGCACGCAAATGCATTGCTTTGCATGTAGTTGAAACTCCACAAACGATGCGACTCTACAATCTATCGTATATACTGCTTTCCCATCTTCCGTGCATGGATGTTGCTTCACTACTAGAGGGTAAGTTCTTGAAAACAAGGGCCATGCCTTCCTTTTCTCATGTGCCCCTACACGACATCCTGTTGAGTACAGAGTAAGCATTCAATAACTATCTGTTGAGGGATTAATTTTTGTTTAAAATCTCTCACCTTCCACAAACTCCTGAGAAGTAAAAGACCTCGGAGCCTGTGTCCAGAAGAGCCCCAGGCTGTGAGGGTTAAGTACCCTGCCTGCATTTCCAATAAAAAATGCCCACAACTCCAATGACGCACGCTCACTCTTCGAGGGCATCAAAACAGTGGAGTCTATCACCTCCTACTTCTCTAATGTCTTGAAGATAACTCCAGAAGGCCTGGCTTTGTGGACCTCTAAGAAGTGTTCTCCATAGGCACACCTATCCATCTGTCCTTCCTGTCCAGGTCAAATAAAGTAGCACCATCTCAAAACAAACTGCTGAGCTAGGTGGGCCATGACTTGTCTGAAATGAATGGCACAACATTTTGATTTGTGCCAGAGGCAAAAACCCAATGCTAACTCAGATGCTAAAGGGGGCTTGGGACTACCCAGTAGGTCATATCACGTTTCTAAGCCACAGCTCCCACAAGCCACTTCCTTACTCAATAGCTGTGTCACACACATGTAGCAATGTGGGAGATGCATCATTTTGATCTTGTCATACAACCATGGACAAAAGCAATAGAGCCTTTTTTTCCCCTAGGTTACCAAAGCCAAACAGCCAGGAGGCTTTTTTTTTTCTTTCCTCATTCCTTTTCCTGACATATACCAAATTGTCCAAACATAGAGGAGGGTCCCCTAAACCCCTTGGTAAAAACCAACATTCTCTAGGCGAGGGAGCCCAGAAGTACTGAGGGACAGTTAGTGGAAATTTACCCTGGACTTCATCTGCCATTTGAAACTTGGGCTTCAGCGAATGATCTCCTGCAAAGCCCCATCTCACCTTCCACCCCACTGCTTTAGGCAAGACACGTATCGTGTATTTTGGACTACTTCTTACTGTTACCTGAGCACTCTGTTCGCATGTAGGATTCAGTAACATACTGTATTTGGAATGCCCTTCCTCATTGTGTGTTAGACAAATTCCTATCCCCTATCAAGGCCAATTTTAAATATTATTTTGTGTCCCCACTACCTCTCCTCTGCAAAAATGCTTAATCCCTTATGAATGATCTCTAGACATATTTTTATCCTGGTGTGTATTTCTGTTTATGGTCCATTTTTCCTGTGATAGGTGAAGTCTGGGAGGGCAGGAAGTATATATTTGTTTCTTTATTCCCAGGACTCCTGATTACTTTCAGGACAATTTGGATCTTGTGAGAGTCAGGGTGGCCGTTGAGGTGAGAAGGCACTTGCTAAATACAAGATGGCAGGCACAGCCTTTCAGGCAGAGGGAAGAAAATGAGCAAAGCACATTGGAGCTTTAAAAATTCCTGGCATGTTTGCTGAAGGTTGGAAATTTGGACTCAATGGGGTCTGTGGCTTTGGCAGAAGAGAAAAGTTAGGGGAAATGAGGCCAGTGAGTGTACTGCTATTCTGTGTCCCCTCGATCCACCGCAGACTGACCAATGTGGGTCACATCAATAGGGTCCCCTGTCCTCCAGCTTCCCATTGGATTTGGTTGATGAGAATCAGTGGCAGGAGATGGGGTGGAGGAGGTAGGATAGAGGCTGCCACAGGTGTTCAAAATCGCTCTGTCATAGATGACAGCCTGTGGCCAGTGGACCTCTCCACACAGCCCTCACTCTCTGGTGGGAACTGTGACCCCCTCCTTTTTATCCCTTCAGCCCTGCAGGTGTTAATGATGCCCTCCTGTACTAGTCCTGCGGTCCTGACTCCCCCTGCACTTTTCCTACACTTTGGCAAATATCCACTTTATTAAACTCTCCTCAAATTACTCGATTTGAGCATGCCATCCCTTTTCCCTGCAGGAACCCTGACTTTTGTAGGTAGACTGCTCACTACTCTGTGTGAAAGATTTTTTTTTTTTTACTTTATCCTGAAGACGAGAAGAACCAGAGAACCAAAGTGAAGAACTTTGCAGTGGCTACCTCAGAAAATTACCAATGGCTATAAAAGGCACCAAAATTGATCTTATCTCTTTGTCTTCCAGTGGGTGGCCCTTCCCAGCATGGAAAGAAATGTGATTCTAGGAAATGAATCTGTCTGCAATCTTTTTGCTTCCTTTCTTTGTCTCCTATTCTAGCCCTCACCAGCTGGTCCATGTAAAGCTTGCACCCACGATGGAGCTTCATTCTGAAGAAGCTGGACCCAGACTGGCAAGGTATAAATAGGGAGCACACAACTATTATCCAGTCCAGACAATTTTCACAATGACACTGGGAAAACCAGGACTCGCTCAAGTAAAGTGGGATGAACAATACATATTAGAGACGCAGTGCCATGCTGGAAAAAAGGTCTGAATTACCCACCTCCTCCCAAACCCAGGATCAGCAGTGGCTAAGAAAGATGTACCAGTCTGGCAGGCCTTGTGCCGCAGAGTCAGCCTCAGGTGAAGTCAGCACGTGGGTCACTCTGGGACTAGCTCCAACTCCAATTCCTTGTTGGGACAACTCCAAGTCCTTCTTCCAGGCCTGGATCTTGCCTCCAGCACCCCTCCCATCGCCGATGAAGACTGCTTATAGTTCGGGCTTGAACACCCTCAGGATGGGAAGAACCTCATGGCCTAGGAGGCCAAAACCACATCCTAGACCAACGGCAGCTGACGTCTTCCTTCCTGCCAGCGAGTGTGAAGGCGACACCCAGGCAGTTCTGACCAGTCAGCAACAGGTTGCCTTTCTACCTGGTCCTCAGCCCCGAGACTGTGTACACACATGACCCTGTGTCGGGGGGGTCGGGGGGGTTGGGGGTGTGCAGAACGAAAGCAATCCAGTTTGAGGCCAGAAGAGACAGTCTGCTACCTCCAGCTCCCACAGCACACCAGAAGAAAGAACAG